GTGAACCCCATAAAGTTGTAACATGGACTACGGATGATTGCTGCCGGGATTCCCTAGACTTTACCGTAAGGGCCCGAGGATGACTCAGGCTTCTGCTGTATAGAAACCCTTGCAGTGCTGTTGATGAAGAAACTTTCCTTGTCCCTGAACCCCTCCTGAAATCCCTAAAACCTATAGGCCCTAAACCCCTAAACCCTAAACTCCCCAATCCCTAAACCCCTAAACCCTAAACTCCCCAAACCCTAAACCCCTAAACCCTAAACTCCTAACCCCTAAACTCCCCAACCCCTAAAGCCTTAAACCCTAAACTCCCCAACCCTTAAACCCCTAAACCCTAAACCCCCTAACCCCTAAAGCCCCAAACCCTAAATTCCCCAATCCCTAAAACCCCTAAACCCTAAACTCCCCAACCCCTAAACCCCTAAACCCTCAACTCCCCAACCCCTAAACCCCTAAACCCTAAACTCCCTAACCCCTAAAGCCCTAAACCCTAAACTCCCCAACCCCTAAACCCCTAAACCGTCCCTGTCTCGGAAGGGTCTTGCGTTACTGTGATCTTTTGGGGCCCCGTCGTTCTGGGCTACCTGAATTGCTGTCGAGTTTGACCCGACCAGCAACAGAGCAAGTGGTCAGCGCTCAGGGAGAATTTCCCCAGGGCTCCAGTTAGGGTTTAAGTTTAGGGGTATTTAGGGGTTAGGGTTGAGCGTTTTAGGGTTGAGGGTTGAGGGGTTTAGGAGTTTAGGGTTCAGGGTAGGTTACTATCCATAGGTTGTATATCCCAGAAAGCTACGTATACCAGCCTATGTCTTAAACCCTAAACCCTAAACCCTAAACCCTTCATCGTCTCAGTGGCCAGAGACGGCTACCGATTGCCACCTTGCGAGGGACACAAAAGAGCAGGGCTTGTCGCAAGAAGGGGACCGAGAAGAACGATCCCCGTAAAGGATCCCCTAAAGGAACCCTTGAAGGATCCCTTACGATGCCAGCAGCAGTGCCAGCAGCGACACCATTGCGGCCAGCAACAACCACGCCCTGCACTCAACCAGCAGCGCAAGCACCGTGGCGCGAAGAAGCGGCTGCAAGCTGCCCCAGCCAAACAGCAGCACCCATGCAGGCAGCTCCAGCCAGCCCCCTTAACCCCTAAACCCCTAAACTCCCCAACCCCTAAAGCCCTAAACCCTAAACTCCCCAATCCCTAAACCCCCTAAACCCTAAACTCCCCAACCCCTAAACTCCTAAACCCTATAAATACAGTGCTGTTGCAGAAACTTTCCTTGGGGAGGACCAGGAGTTCCACTAAACCCCTAAACCCCTAGGTACAGGGCTGTTGCAGAAACTGTCGTTGGGGAGGATCAGGAGTTCCACTACATCTCCCTCGGAGAGCTCTCGCTTCCGGCAGTGCCCGGAAGCTCAGCTTTGAGACCGGGCCTACCTTGACCCCAAATAACCTACCTTGTTAAGGACTCATATAAGGAAACCATAATAGGGAACCCGAAAAGGTAGGTTCGTTGGGGTGCAGGTAGGGTATAAGGTCGGGGAGGGTTTCCGTACGGCTCTTGTCGCCTTGTGTTTGCTATGTGTTCGAGTGCGCGTTTTTTTTTTTTTATGTGTGGTCCGGATGCAGGTGTGTGTGTGTGTGTGTAGCTGTGTCTGTGTGTGCCAACTTGTTTCTGGGGGAGGTTTTGATAATTAAGTTTTCCAGCGCTCGTAAAGCGCTGTTCAGGTGTTTCGTGTTATTTGATGGGGTTGGGTCTGCTTGATAGAGTCTGATAAGGTTGGAGGTGGTGCAGTGCAGGTCTAGGGCGTGTCGTGACAAGCGAACTGCATCACCGCCCCTGGTTGCTTGTGCGAAAGGAGCGCGACGACTTTCTAGCCCGTGCCACTGCTAGCATCATGCTTTGTCTCCCTAGACGCATGCTAAAACCCTCCACCCTGAAGCCCTGCGCAAGCCTGAAATTCGGAGTGTCAGGGCTTTAACCCTCAGTTCATTTGCCAAGAAGATGTCATAAACCAGAGACCCCCAAAGCCTTGGCGTAGGAGCCGCAGTCACCTAGCACTTAAAGGATCATAGGACTTAGTAACTGGGGCCATAATTAGGGTAACTATACTTATAACTACTTATAACCCCAGTTAAGGTGCTTATAACCTTACTTACTAAGTCCCATGATCCTCCAAGTAGCAATCAGGCCCATTTGCGCAGACCTTCGGCTGTCCTCGCCAGAGCCCCGGAGAAGGGCGCTAAACACCAAGCCCCAAGAAAGGTCGACCCATAGGCCCCATAGTAGTTCCTTTTTATGATTACGTTATAGGGTTCTATGTACGAACCCCCAAAAGGAACTACTTTGGGGCCTTTGGCTATGATGGTCTTCCTTCCGGAGTCTGGAGTGTGGTTGAGGGGTTTCAGGGTTGTGGGCTCCGGGGCTTCTCCTGGGATTTAGGGCAATTTTGAAGTCTACGATACAACTGCTTTTAGTAGTTCTGACCGGCTGACCGGATAGGTTCAAGGGTTGCAGCACAAACACGAGTTTGAGTTCAATTAGGGTTTAGTTTGAGACTTAACACAGAGGGTTTGCAGTGTAGTTTGTGTGACAAGTCATTCCTCGTTGCTGTGGCGCTGAGCAGGCCGGACAACGTGTCACAGTCAGTCGGCTGAGCCAAACACAATATTTGTTAAGCTAAAGCCGTCCACGGCACCAATGACTCTTTGGAGTACAGTCTACAAGAGCCATGGTACATCCTCTAGATCCAACAAACGGACATCATCTTTGAAAAGGCCTGCGAGGAGAGCCCAACTTATGCAAGACTCTGGCTTACTCGCAGTATAGACCCTGAAAGTTCGAATCTTGAAAACCCATATTTCTGCATCCCTGGAGTTTGTTTCCTCTTCGCATTGTAGCATGAAGCCAGTTCGACCTAAACCCTAAGCCCTAAACGAAATTTCGGGCGACCCTCTTCCCAGCCTGAACCATGAACAGGCCCAGCAGCCAAGGCAGCCTAGGGCCTAATCCTTCAAGGCCTTAGGGCTTAGTAGCCCGGTGTGTGCCTTCCGCACGTTTTTGGATAGTATCATGCCCATAACACTGGAATGGTAAGAGCATCGAAAGCCCTCTCCTTTGTGGTTTGGGGCTTAAGGCTTAGGGTTTAGGGCTTGGTGGGGGCATGAATGTTTTGAAACTACTACGTGGAGGATCGTGGGACTTAGTAAGTAAGGTTATAAGTGCCTTCATTGGGGTTGTAAGTACTTACAAGTATAGTAACCCTATTTAACCTTACTTACTAAGTCCCACGATCCTCCAAGTACTCAGAATTCAAAAATCAGCATGGGTGGTTGTCGAAATTAGGGCCCCTTTTTGGGTTACCCTAAAGAAAGAGGTGCCGTTACTATAACAAGGCCCCAAAAAGGGACCCTCACATTGACAGCCACCCTCATGGTCAAAAAGCACTCAAAGCCCTGGTACAAAGCAGACTCAAGGGCCTTCCAGCCCTAGCCCTGTAGAACTCATAGGCCCTACGCCTAAACCCCCAGAGAACCCAATACCTCTTAATGAAGGAATATACCTTAAATCATAATATTAAGGCCCCTAAAGTTTGAGGTATATTCCTGAATTAATGGGTATTGGGCTGTCTGGGCCTACCTTTAGTCTCCGTTGCAGTTACTTTCTTGGGTTAGTAACTTATAGGATCCCAAATATGTCATTACAATTAGCCAGACCAACCAACCAAGAACTACACTGGAGACCATGCTCGAACCATAAATCATCATCTCCCAAACCCATGAACCCCTAAACCCCTTATACCCTAAACCCCAGACCCATGAACCCTATAAGCCTCTTAATCCGTTCACCCCGAAGCCCCCAGCCCCCTAAGCCCTGAACCCCATAAATCCTAAACCCCAAACCCCTATAAATGGACCCTAAACCCCTGAAGCCCTAAACCCCAAACCCCTAAACCCTGAACCCCGTAATTCCTAAAAAAAAGCCCAAACTCCTGTAAATCCCCTTAAGCCCTAAACCCAAACCCCTCAACCCTGAACCCCGTAATTCCTAAAAGCCCAGCGCCCCCCCGGCTGAGGCCAGTCTTCCTGTCCTTCACGGAGCTGTCCCTGACTTTCCCGGAGATCCGCCTGGCGCGCGTCACCACTACCAGCTTTGTGCTGGGGCAGGAGCTCCGAAGGTTTCTTATGTATCTATTTTTGGGGATTTCGTAGGGTCAGATGGGGCTCGTCAGGGTCTCTATTCTCTATTCAGTTCCAAGGGGGCAGCATAGAGTTCAGAGTGCCTTGTCGACAAAGAATGCCCCAGTACTCTGTTTACTATATTCAGTAGATTAGGCTTTCGACCCAAGGTCGGTGCTGTTTGCATAGGTGAAGTCTTCGGGAGTGGCTGCTTTCAAGTTGAAGCGTTGACGGCTTCGGGGTTTAGGGTGGAAGGGTCTTAAGCAAGCTGTAGCCTTAGCTAAACCCAAAACCCACACCCCAATTGGCACTGCGGCCAAGCCCCGAGCCAGAAGACAGTCCTGTTGCCTTTTGGGATGCTGCCCAATTCGCGGCTTCAGCCACTCTCAACCCTGTAATATAGGGGCTTTAATAATTACCAGTACTATTGTGGGGGTCCTTAGTATAATTATAGTAGAACGGCCCCAAAACCCTATTCTATTTATTAAGGATCCAAAACAAGTAAACCTCAACTGTTTGTCGCTCTGCCGGGAACCCTTCATGGGCCTTTGCCTAAGGCCGAAATCCCAAACCTAGGGCGGTCATGCTTGTCTTAGGGGTATCTAGAAATATTTTTTAGTTTTTTGTTATTATAACCCCTAAGAAACAGCTAAAACTATAATTTGTGCTAGGGTTCTAAGTTCAGTACTTGGAGGCCCTGTTGACTTAGTAAGTCTACTTAGTATCCCCCAGAAACCCTATTATAATCCCCATAACCCAGCTTACTAACCCTACTTACTAAGTCAAAAGGGCCTCCAAGTATAGTTGATCAGAACCACGTTTTGGGATGGCGTGGAGCTCAAATGACGGCAGGCGTCCCGCTTGGGAGAGCGCCCTAGTTCCCCCTCCCATCATGGTCATGGGAGTGTCCAAGAAGGACCGGAAGCCTCACAAGTCCCTTGGGTTCATTTTGGGCAATCTGCTTAAGTTAGCACAAGACTTACAGTATAGAACCACCAAAACCCCTAAGCCCCTAAACCCTAAGCCCTAAAACCTTAAGGCCCTTAAAGCCCCTATCCATAAACGTTGACCCTTATATTTAGAATCCCCAAACGTTCGTTCCTTAAAGCCGTGCCCAGGTTGGTCGAAGCAGCTGCGAGGGGCTCCCTCCTGGGAGGTCACAGCGCTGATGAGATCGACAACATCAACAACCTGGGCGGTGTGGCCACTCGGGATTATAGTCTCCTTACGAAATACTTTTTTGTTCATATAAAACCCAAGAGAATATTAAACATATTATTTTTTATCATGGTTGTAAGGGTGGTACAGGGGATTTCCATAAGGATTTAGGGTTTAGGGCTAAGGGTTTGGGGTTTAGGGTGGCCGCTGGGGGCTTCGATAAGGATTTAGGGCTTAGGGTTTAGAATGGCCACTGGGGGCTTCAACTAAGCTTTTTGCAGGGTTTGGGCTTCATGGAGGTGGAGTCAGTCGCTGCGGACTTTAATCGGATTTCAGAAGGATATACGGGACAGGTGGAGGCCTCTTGGAAGTGTAGCTTGTCACTGGGCTTTGGAGTACCCTATGTACTTTAATACTTTTTTCTTAAGGGAGCCATTATGAAATAACAGTTTATACTTTTTCTCCCTGGTTACTTAAAGGCCCAGGTCAAGGTTGTATGATGTACCCCCGCGCGTTTTCCGGGGACTGCGTGTTGTTTTATATGATGGGGTTGCACGGGGGGCTCGGGGGGGTTAAACCCTTAGCCCTAAATTGAACCCTGATCCTTAAGTAACCATGTTAGCGTTGCAGGTTTCTGCCTTGGTTTTGTCCTTCGTCTTGGGCTTGCAGTACATGGTCGCGCCCGGAACGGAGGAGATGAACCACGCCGACTATCGGAGCCTTAGTGGTGGAGTAAGTAGCCTTGTGTCCGTTTTGGTCGAAGCTCATCTCACGCCTGTTGCTGGGAACGCAACTTATCTCACGTCAAGCTTTAACCTTGTCGGTACTATAATCCCTATATAACCCCAAAGATTAACCTTCAGCGCCCCTGGGATACTGGAGGAGCTTGCTGTGCAAAAGCCAGGAGTTCCGCGTCTTTGTTCGGGACGTTTTCAAGACAGAGGATGGGTTTCGGAGCATTTAGTACCAGGGCTTTAGATCCCTCTTTCCGGAACCTTAGGGCTCTTTATATGAAGCTCCCCTTCAACAATGAACTCCGGACAGGATATCGGCACGCACAGCGAGGAGTATTACAACTTCACGCAGCTGGTCAGACCGGGCGTGTACATGGACGTTGAGCAGTTTCTCATGACAGAGCTGCAGTCCATCTGGGGGGAGGCAAGTTCAGGATCGGACCACATAGACTGCATCTGGGCTCGGTTAAGAAGTTTACAGCAATTTAGCTCTAGCGACGACATCCTTGCTCCTACATGATATGTAGTTGTGGTCAACCCTCCAGCTCGTCCTCGAACCCAGGCACTCCCTATACTTCTAAGTATGCAAACTCACTTGACCAGAGCCCAGGCATCGGGGACAAAGATGTCCAGACGGTAGTAGCCCTGACCTACGACGACTTTCCCACCAAGAGCCCTTGGGCTATGCAGGACATTGCTTTTTTGGTGGCGTAGGATTCAGGAGCTTAGCAACACCATACCTTAACGACCATAACCTACTGCATTTTTGGTCGGTTCTTAATATTTCCTTAGTGTAAGCCCCACCTTGAATCATTAGGGACCCTGCAAAAAGAATTGGTTCTGGTAGTTCAGGAACCCTACTATAGAGGCTTAAATCACTACAACACTAATTTGCGGGGTCCTGATTATAATTATGGTATAGTGTGCACCAAAACGCCATTCTAATTTTTGAGGGTCTCTAAATTGACCCCTAAACTTGTTCTTTCCTTTTTTCCAGAACCCAGGGCTTCACGCCTTCGCCCTGCAGTCGGGGGATTTCTACCGCTGGTCGGAGGTAACTTTGCGATCCACTTTGGGAGCGCTTTCTTCAAGGAATTGACGGCTAAGTAGAATGAGCCGCAACACCCCATTGTAGGGATTTGGGGTTTAGGGGTTCAGTCAGGTCTCAGGGTTAGTTTTCGATTCCTACCAAATCTCAAAGGTCCTCCGTTCAAGAAATTAAGGGCCTAGGGTGCTCAGCCAAGTTGTGTTCTGCATTTTTGCTGGATGTGTGGTCAGTTTATTTCATGTTTCTTTGTTGAAAAGGGAGCGTTTTGCTTAAGGTACCATGGAGCAGAGCCCCAGCCCTAAACTCCAAACCCTAACCGCCAAACCCCGAACAACTTAAAAACAAAAAATCGAACACTAAACCCCAAACCCAAACCCTACACCCAGAACCCTATCAGTAAACCTCAATCCAAAGCAGTATAGAACCGAACCCCACGCCGCACACCTATAAACCCTAACCCCAAGCACCAAAAGCTCAACCCTACTATAAGAGCCTAAACACTTACTCATACTAGTTCAAGGTTCCTGACGATAATCATAGTATCATGGGCCCCAAAACTCTATTCTAATTATAGAGTTTACTATACTATAGTACCCTTATAGATCCCTTATAGTAGCCCTTATAGACCCCTTTTAAAGGAACCCTATTCTAATTGTAAAGGCCCTATATTAGGTCAACGAGCGCATCGGAGCCATCTCTTCAGCTCTGGTTTTCGCTGCTCTTCTTTGGAGCTTCTCGGCCCTTTAATAGGGTTCAATATGGGGGCCGAAATGGTTCCCTTTAAAGGATCTATAAAGGATCTATCATAGGGTTCTATATTATGGCCTCAACCGTTACCTATACGATTTTGCGGGTCCCTTATTATGATCATAGTGTATTTGCCCCCCCCCCCTTCAAGACACTTTCTACTTATTAAGGCCCTTATAGTGAGGGCTGCTTCAAGGGCTTCGTAGGCTTCCACTAAGGGTTCCTTAAAGGGCTTTCAGGGAGCACTGGAAGGAACCTGCAGAATCCTTAGAAGGCACCAGGAGGAACACCAGGAATCTTCGAGCTCGGTAGCTCAGGTATCATCCCCCTATGGAACCCTCAACCCTTACATCCTTGAAGCTTATACCCTACCTGAAAGGAACCCTGAAGCCCTGAAAGGAAGCCTCGGTAGCTCAGGTATCATCCCCTAAACCCTTATCGGAACCCTAAACCATAAGCCGTTAAAGGAACCCTAAGAAGCCCTTAAAGGAAGCCTCGATAGCTGAGGTATCATAACCCTTGCATCCTTGAAGCTTATACCCGACCCTTAAAGGAACCCTAAACCTAAAGCGCTTAAAGGAACCCTAAACCCTTAAAACCCCCGGTAAGCTCAGGTATCATCCCCTAAACCCTTATAGCCTTATAGGAACCCTGAACCATAAACCCTCAAAGGAACCCTAAACCCTTAAATTAAAGCCCATAACCCCTTAAAGGAACCCTAAGAAGCCCTTAAAGGAACCCTAAGAAGCCCTTAAAGGAACCCTAAGAAGCCCTTAAAGGAACCCTAAGAAGCCCTTAAAGGAAGCCTCGGTAAGCTCAGGTATCATCCTGAACTTGAGCCTGGCCTTGGCACCGGTGCGCGAGGACCGGAGCCCTGGGAAACCCTTCTAAAGCCCCAAGGGTCGAAGCAGGGTTTAGGGTTTAGGGTGGTCCAAGTACCTGATAATCATATACTAAACAAATTCCTAAGCTACATAACTACTATCCGAAAACCGAGTACCTAATTATTGGGTCCTTTGGACCCTTGGGGAAGGGTCTGAAAATAGAGAACTCAAACCTTTGGCAACGGTGTAGGGTTTAGGGGTTTAGGGTTCATGATCTTTATGGGTGTTTCTATACAGAGCTCAACAAAAGATATCCTACCAAAACTGGGGTTTAGAAGGCTTAGGGTTTAGGGCCATAGCTATTAAGGGCTAAGATGGTGAAAAAGAGCACCAAAGAATAAGAAGATAGATATCCTGCCATTATATATGGGTTGAGATGGGCCTCGCTTGCGCGGTTCTATTTTTCAGATCCTTCCGGCGGTCTTTGTTTGAACACTTGAGGGCAAGCCGGGATCATCGTATGTAAGCCATGTTTTAACTATGGGTCTTTAGTGCCTCCAGTTCGGACGGCACCTATATAGTTAGTTACCCAACTACTGAATAGGCCTTCAAGCGACTTGTATATGGTTACTGGATGGCTTTAAAGTTAGAGGCTTCAGATCTATTATATGTATGTATATATATATATATATATATATATGTATATATATATATATATATATATTTGTATATGCGTACCATTACGGGAGTAGTTTAAACATTGGAGTTGGATCAAGATCACTATTCAAGATCATGGCAAAGGTGACATTCATTTCGGGCACAGAGTTCTGCGGTGTTTCGTAGTCCTCGAGCCGCATAGCGGTGCAGGCTTTGGGTCATTCAACTCTTTGTGGAGAGCACTGACCTCCCTTCAGGACTCCACGGGGACGGCGCTGGTCGCATGGCTGATGATCGGAGGGCCCATGATGATCTTGAACTACATTTTCCTACTGGTGGGCCTGATCCTTTTCTTCGTGACCCATGGCCGCCAGCTGATGGCCGTGAGCCCCTTCTCCGGGGCGACGTCCTCGAACACCGTCGTCGTCTCCCTCTTCAGCATCCTCCTTCCAATCTTTGTCGTGGGCTTGCTGTTGGGAGCTTCGTCCAAGATCTGGGCGGACTACAACGCGCCGAAGCTGGTAGCGGCCGGCGCAGAGGGAGGCCCGGGGGAGGTGCAAGTAACTGGGCTTTGGAGTACCATGCTTTAAGGCTTTGTGGGGACCTGATACCTAAAGGGAACGATTCTGAAATAAACGTCTATACTTTTTTGGGGACCTGTTACTTAAAGGGAGCCTTTTGAACTCGATGAAAGTCTATGCTTTTTCCTCCCTGGTTGCTTGAGAGCCCAGGTAAAGTCGGATGGCGAAGTTGCCGACGAGCCGTCAAGCATGAAAGCAGAAGAGAATTGACCTCGGCTAATACAGGGGCCTTAATAAGAACCTTACTGCTTTGGGGGTTTCCTTACACTTATTATAGTGAAAGTATACTGGGCCCCAAAACCCTATTCCAGTTTGTTAAGGCTCCTATATAACCGCATCACTTCCTGCCAAAGTTGCAGGTGGCCCTGCTGACGGGGGTCCCTTCCGGTTGAACTGTGCCTGTCAGAGCAAAATTCGTGTCAAAATGTGATGATGCCTGTCATAGAGTGTCGGAGCTTCTGCTGTACTCTTCATGCTTCTGGGCTTAGTGTTCTTGGGATTTTGGGGCTGCATGTCGTGCCTCCTTCTGCGAGGAGTTAATTGCGCACTGCATCGCTTTCCTTCTGCCGCTGCCTCGGGACGTACTTGAGAGTTTCCGAAAATGAGGGTGCCTAAATTGGGGGTCCTTACAATAAGGATCCTACTATTTAGCGTACTATATGAGGGTCCCCTATTTCGGAAACTCTCATTTGGAGATTAATATACAAGTCAGGGTTTAACTCGAGGGCCCTGAGTCCTGAGTACTGTAGGGGCTTGATTCAATAATCAAAACTACACCAGAGTTTCGGGGTATATCATATATATATATATATATATATAATTAGCATGTTCTTGTTCTTTTTGTTACTATTACTATTATATATATGGTTATTATTATTATTATTATTATTATTATTGTTGTTATTATTATTATTATTAGTAGTAGTAGTATTATCATTATTATTAATATATATATATATATATGAACGAATGAATAAAATAAATAAATAAATAAATGAATAAGGAGCCGCCAAAACCCTATTCTAATTATTGAGGCCCCTACATTATTTCTTTCGGAGGGAGGACAGCCCCTGGGTCTCTTTTGGGGGTCGGCAAGTCCGGCTTGCAGGCTTCGGACGCTCAGGGTACTACAGGGGCCGGTATAATCAGAATAGGTTTATGGGTATGTTATTCTATAGTCATAATATGGAGCCCCCAAACTAGTCATAATATGGAACCCCCAAAATAGTCATAGTATGGAACCCCCCCAAAATAGTATAATAGGTAATTATTAAGGCCTCTACAGTAGGTCTAGAAGCGAAGTTGCATAACAGTTCAGCGAATGCCTGTATATGTATGTATGTATGTGATGTATGTACGTATGTATGTAGCGCGCGACGTCTCTTTGACGGCGAGCAGGCTCCGAAATTCCAGAAACGAAATGTCATTTCGGAAATGATACGGAGCTTCCTTTAAAGTCTAGTTTGAAGGAATCAGCCGATACCTAAATCAGACAAGGCTCCCTGAGAAGCTTCAAGCAAGCCTCTGAATGAAGGGCAAGTTCACGATTCGATATGCAAGTTTTGGGTTTTGCCCTTGCTCCTCGATGGACACCTGGTGGTCTTTCATGATGTTACTTAGATAGTGAACGGGGGAACTTTAAACTTTTTGGCCTTATATAAACTAGCTCTATCTTAGAAAGTTTGACCTTTGTTGGGCCCGGTTGTTGAAGAAGAGAGTGTTTCAGAGTGTAGGGCTCAAACAAAGTATCTGTAGAACAGGGTTGTGGCTGGGGAACTGTTGACTAATCGATACATATATATATATATATATATATAGGGAAGGTAAGGTGGTCTCATTCAGACCCCCTGCGTAATTAGTGGGCAGTGGGAGGTCCAGGTCGGGGGTTTCCGGCTCAGGGGTGTTTCAGCTTCACGTGTATATTGTTTGCCTATGTTCAATACGCCTCGCAAGGGACTGAAACTGGGCCTCAAGCTTAATTACCTAGTTGGGGTGCAGGGCTTGTAGGGGTTGGGTAGGATAATCCCTGCCTCCCAAAGAAGCCTTTTCTAGAAAGAATCTAGAACCCTTATGACAGTGTTTTGTAATACCTTGCAAAACCCTAAACCCGAAAAGCCCTCGTTACTTGAGGCTGAATAGCCCCGTTCTGCTGGGGTCCTGCGATCTCTTCGGGAATCCGGTGCAGGCACGCTCAGGTTTCGAGTTTAGGGTTGAGGGCCTGAAAAAGGGCCTGAATAATAATAATAATAATAATAATACTAATAATAATAATAATACTACTAATACTAATAATAATAATAATAAGAATAAGAATAAGAATAATAATAATAAGAAGAAGAAGAATGATAACCTATACTAGTTTGGGTGTTCCTTATTATATAGGTATAGCATAAAGGGCCTCAAAACCCTATTCTGATTATTAAGGCCCCTATATTTCCGTGCTTATAATTAGAAGAGACCTTGGAGCTTAATGTAGACCCTGGTGAACAAGCCCATTTCTTAAACGAGGATTATGCGGGGGGTTCACTACAAGGCCTGCAAAAACCCATGGGCGGTCCGTTCTTTGCGGAATCAGCTTCAAGGCTGGATTAGGGCTCAGGGGTACGGGGTTCCAAGGCCCAGTGATTAACGGATTAACAGCGCGCCCTTAAAATGATATAGGCTGCATCAACGATCAGCGCATGATTATTCAAGCTTATAGGATCAGATC